TGGAATTGGATCAGCGTGTGTTATAATAGTTGGGAAGCCACTACCAACCGATACCCTGAATCGATGCTTAGATCCCACTCGTCTAAACACACTTTACCTATTTTAATCACTTATAAACAGCTAATATACTTTAAAACAACCTTAAATTGTAAACTATCTAGAATAAATAACTTTAAACCATAAATTATTAAAAGAATTTCAAATTTTGATTAAAAGTAAGTAATTGATTAAAAATACTAATTGTAAACAACTAATTTATAACTTATGTATTATAAATATACTAATGCCATGAATCAATACTCCTACATCTACGCTATCGCTTGGATATTCGTTTTGGAGTGGTTTTAGCTGCTTTTCTAATGCTCTGCTCCTTATGTGAAGTGTCGGTTAAGATCTCGCCGTAAGAAGTTCAACTTTCAACGGCTTACCTGACATCGTTTGAGACGGGTTAAAGATCATTTAACTTGTTTGCTTCGCTGGAACTGGATCAGCGTGTGTTACAATAGTTGGGAGGCCACTACCAACGCATACCCTGAATCGATGCTTAGATCCTACCCTTGTACTCGCCTAACCAAACTTTTTTGCTCTTAAAAAACCTAATATACTTTGAATAACTTTAAAATTTTAAATTAGTTATGAAAAATTGCTTTAAAGTATAAATTATTATAACACCTTAAAAAAATTTTTTTAAAAAAAGAATAGTTTTTAAAAAGAATAATTTGTATAGAATAACTAATAGACATTAATGTAATTTTTATTTTAAATTACACTAACTTAATACACATATATAAAAAAATATATATAAGAAATACATTAAAAAACTTTTTTAACAATTTCCTTAGCCGTCTCATTGCGTTACACAAAACTCTAAGTTGTTCACACGTTTTCATCACACTATAACTAATTTCTTCATAATTATAGTCATTCTGACCTAGGTGCCAACACAATTCACATTAAGTCATACATTTTGCTCTTTCTTACCGGATCCAATTCACTTAACACACTTCCTAATTTCAATTAATCACCTTGCACGTTTTCTAAATTAAAAATAAATACCTCGTTTGTCTTCTAACACCTTCGCGTCTTATATATTCTGTATTTACTAGCCACTCGTATACACACAACAATCAAGTCGCTAGAGTATTCAAGACAAAAGGTAATTTCTTTTCTAGTATTTTTCCTATAAACATACTGACACGCCATATATACTCTAGGGAACTTAACTGTTAGTATCCCTGAGCTATCGGCTATATCTTTATTTTCTTTTCTTTTCTAACCTAAAATCACCTCGTTGATAGTGATTTTGTTTTATTAAGCATGAATACAAGTTCAAGACACCTCTTAATTTATGAGTCTGTTTTAACTTGTGTCATTTCCACTTATAGCATAAAATATTGTCATCTACGTGCATTAATATATACTTTAAATGTGTCTAATTCACCTTATGCAACCTTATAACTTAAATTTAATGTTTTAAATTTACATTAATTTTTAACTCTTCTATTGCGCTGAATTTTTTCGTTATTGTTTCTAAAAAATATATTAGTGTTTACTTAACTAGGTTTATGATAGGTTAATTGGCTCCGTGTAGTGTGTCCTTTTAGTGTTGCAACATGAGCGAGGCTTGACGTCGGAATGGGTTTTTTATACTGATTTCGATGATAAGACTCCGACGGGAGTCTTTAGAAGTTAGTGAATTAAACATTCGAAACGTCATAATACCAGGGTAGAGACCCCCTCAAAAGGGTCAATACCATAACCATTTCCTGATGAGAATCTGGTATTTACACTACCTAATTCGTTTGCTTTTTTCTCAAAACACTAATGTATTTTTATGCGTATCTTTCTGAATTCTAAGTGCGCGTAATTTAGTTTTGTTTGCAAATAATTTGTCTATATTGTTCTATTGTCATGTTGTTTGCTTTGTATTTTGTCTTTTAAATTTGAATTAGTCACCATGTTTTTTTGTCAATTTAATAATACTATTATGATATATTGTCCTATTATGCATTAATGTTAGTAAGCACTAACAGTTTGTTCGTTTTGAATTATAAATTATAGTACTAAGTGTTTAATAAGAGAACATCTAAGAGTAACAGTAGTAATCTCTAAGTTATCTCTAAGTAAGACTCACACCAATCTTTAGCCAATTTTTAACACTTTTTTCAAGATTAAACACAATTTCAAATTCACATTTTAAAAGACTGTTAAGTTCCTCTATTTAAATTAAGTTTATAAACTGTGTAAGCGAGGCAAGCATACACATTTCTATTTGAACCAGATACACGCATTTTCTCAATACGTCCTTACTAGTTTATGCATTGTTTATTCCTTACTTCTTAAGCATTATTTGTTACGCAATTTTCCATGCCAAATAAACTGACCTGTGTCTATAGTATTATTTCCAATGCGCCTAAGTTCTTACAGCTCCCCCTCCTCTCAATTTTTTGCGTTATAAGTAATGAGTTTAATATACGTTGATAACTTTTAATTTGTGTGCTTGAAGTCTGTCCTTTTTACATAATAATATATATAGATCTACTTCTTTAATGTAAATATAATTTTCTTATAACAGTTATATCTTCTCCTCTCTCGCTCTTAACTTGAGGCTTCTTTAATACTTTTTTCACTTTGTATTCTATTTTCTATCTTTGTTTTTGTTTTTGTTTTCATTCTTAAGACTTAATTTCCTATAAAACGAGTCTCACGTATATAAATCTCATGTACGCGCGCGCACTTTCATGTCACACGCTTATGCCTTTTTTTAAGTTTTTGTTTTTTGACTTTTGATTATACAAAAGAGTTATTAGTCTCACAATTTTTAACTGTTCTTATAATTGATACACAAATAGCGAGCCTTTCGAGTAAAGAATTTTTTATAGATTGCCTACCCATACCAAGACCCTTTGCACTTGCGAGTTAAGCTCCATTGCGCCAATTCCTATTTAAGTCAGTCGATGTATGCACACTCCGCTGCGCCAATTCCTATTTAAGTCAGTCGATGCATGCACACTCAACTGCGTCAATTCCTATTTAAGTCAGTCGATGTATGCACACTCAGATGCGCCAATTCCTATTTAAGTCAGTCGATGTATGCACTCTCCGTTGCGCCAATTCCTAATTAAGTCAGTCGATGTATGCACACTCAGATGCGCCAATTCCTATTTAAGTCAGTCGATGTATGCACACTTTGTTGCGCCAATTCCTAATTAAGTCAGCTGTAAAACAAAAACAAAAAGCACTCTATAAGCGCCTGCACTTATTCTTAAACGATCAATACAAGTACACTACACTGTACAAGTCTTCTCACTCATAAGTCATAGTAACATCGTTCTAAAAAAACGCTTGTCTTTATCTGTTACACACACATGCTGAAAACTATTAAAAAAATTTATATCACCAATCATACACCTTTACTGATAGAATTCTATTGAAATCCGTTTTTCTGTAGTATATAGACTTTTTGAAGAAATACAACTTTTTCGAAAAAACATTTTTTACATTATATACAATTAAATCTTTGCATATGATAACATTGTTTAGCTCGTTCAGTTAGGCGCTTGATATATCGCCGCAGCGATCCAGGTTCGCATCCCGCTAGTGGCACACTTTTTGTTTTTTATTCTCTTTTTAGCATTTTATCGTCACGTTTTAGATATTAAAAGAGCTTTCATAATTGTTACAAAACCTCTCTTCTATTTCGCTCTTCTAAGACTTTACTCATTATACCTAAATTCTACGCGCTACCCTGCTGTATTGGTTCTACTTTAAATAATGATGAAATGTACGTAAACTACTTTGAAACAACACAAATTAATTTTTGCTTTAGTTTTGAGCTTTTATAACTGGACATCTGTCCAAACACTTTATAATAATCTTGAGCTAACTCTGACTCTAATATAATCCTTGCTTTTTCTTCACTGAGGCTCCCACGGCTGCATGTGTTCCACTAAAGTAACTGGTTTTCGAGTCCAGTTATGAATTATAAATAACCCTAACCCTAACCCTGACCCTAACCCTAACCCTAACCCTAACCCTGACCCTAACCCTAACCCTAACCCTGACCCTAACCCTAACCCTAACCCTAACCCTAACCCTAACCCTAACCCTAACCCTAACCCTAACCCTAACCCTAACCCTGACCCTAACCCTAACCCTAACCCTGACCCTAACCCTAACCCTAACCCTAACCCTGACCCCTAACCCTAACCCTAACCCTGACCCTAACCCTAACCCTAACCCTAACCCTAACCCTAACCCTAACCCTAACCCTAACCCTAACCCTAACCCCTAACCCTAACCCTAACCCCTAACCCTAACCCTAACCCTAACCCTAACCCTAACCCTAACCCTAACCCTAACCCTAACCCTAACCCTAACCTTAACCCTAACCCTAACCCTTTTGTTTTTTATTCTCTTTTTATCATTTTATCTTCACGTTTTAGATATTAAAAGAGCTTTCATAATTGTTACAAAACCTCACTTCTATTTCGCTCTTTTTAGGCTTTACTCATTATACCTAAATTCTACGCGCTATTCTGCTTTATTAGTTCTTCCTAAAATAATGATGAAATGTACGTAAACAACTTCAAAATAACATAAATTAATTTTTGTTTTAGTTTTTTGCTTTTATAACTGGACATCTGTCCAAACACTTTGTAATAATCTTGAGCTAACTCTGACTCTAATATAATCCTGGCTTTTTCTTCACTGAGGCTCCCACGGCTGCATGTGTTCCAATAAAGTAACTGGTTTTCGAGTCCAGTTATGAATTATAAATAACCTTACTCTAACCCTAACCCTAACCTTAACGCTAACCCTAGATCTTTTATAAGATTTTTTAAAAATTTTTAAACAAAATTAATGAATGAGAACTTATTTTATTCACGACTAAATAGTTCAGTTTATTTATTATAAAACAATTATTGGTAACATTAAAATTTAAAAATTTAACTCTTGATATAGACAAATATTATTTTGTAGAACTTATTTTTGTTAATTTAGTAACGTATAGCCGGTATAAATTGTTTTATTTTCTCTCCGGTCCAGTCAGTTAGTCTCTTAAATCGACTTCTGTTTTCATTTACAACCAGCTCAGCGGGAATTTCTTGATTATTTGCAGAAAGTTTATGAGTACAACTTGTAATAAGTCTAGATTTCTGAAGATACTCCCCTGAGTGCTTTAAATTGTACAGCTTATCTATTCTAGATTGAATTTCAGAAACATTAACAACGTTAGTATCACCACTGCTTTCCAAATTGTTAGATTTTTCCTTATAAGTATTTCTCATGTTATTAAGAGAATTTAATGTTTTGTTACAGCTTCCGTTATTAACTTTATCGGTTTCTTCCTTAATCAAATAATCTAGGTACCGCAGCGTTGCGTCATTGTATTGTGTTATAGCACTGTTTTTTAAAAAAGATTCAAATTTAGCACTCGATTCCAATATGTAATTTGACTCTTTGTCAAGTTCATTGATTTCATTTTTTAAATGCTTAATCACCATTTCTTTTTTTTCCAATTCTGATAATTTGCTTTTTAGCATTTCAACAACTTCCAGTCTTTCAATAATTTTTAAAACTTCTTTAGACTCATAGTAAATATGCATATGTTCCTTATAGCTGTGATTACATTGTCGACATAATCCAGTAAATGGCAATCTTATGTTGAAAACATAGTTTACAGTATTTGCAATTGCATCAACTATGGTAACGTTAAATGCAGAGCAACCTAAAATTTTATTATCTCCAACTGTATCGTGGTTAACACTTCTAATAGTGCAATTGTTATGACAGACAGTGCTATAATGAATTTGCATGAGACCGTTTTCATTGTACAACTTTTTGCAAGAAATATTTGTACACACTGTTTTTGGCTCATCAATATTAGTAATCTCTAGCACTAATTTTTCAAAAAACTTTTGCTTTTCAAGATTTTTTATATTTACCTCAACCATATCAAGATTTGCTATATTGTTTTTCAGAATTTCTTTGTTTCCTTGCATATTTTTACTTATTTCAGTCAAAGGACGTGTAAGTTGTTGAATAACAACACGAGCAGCATTAAGACTAAGAGTATTGTTTAATTTATGTGCTTTTAATCCAGTGATATGCTGTAATAACCTTTTAGTTTCAGATACGGAGTGTTCCCAACTTTCTGCATAATTGTTAAATAAGTTCTCTAAAAAAAGTAATGATTCTGTTTTGCTTTTGACAGCTGCAAGATATCGGTATGATTCGCTATCAAAGCAATACATAGTTTTTTTGCATATTGGGATATCAACAAGTTTATTTTTATGAAGAAGTTCTTTTAACATATTTACTGTACCTCCAGGTTGGTAAAAGTTTTGACGAGTGTTTGTAAAGCAAAATACAATATTTCTGCAAGCATCCTTATGTAAATAATATAAGAGCTCCTTAATGCAGAACTCAAACATAACACTTAATCTTGATTCACTTGGTTTTAACAAAATACAAATTCCATGAAGTTTATCTAAATAAGACAAAGTTGAAAGTATGTCCTCAAAATTCAGTTTATCCTGTTCAATTCCTCTAGTATCACCAACGCCAGGTGTGTCAATCAGTCTTATTTTAGTATCTCCAATCATAAACGAGTAAATCTTTGTTTTTTGTGTTGCTGATTGTCCTATTACTTGTGCTTCATTAACGTCGGTCCCAGTAGTTATTTTCACTTCAATATAGTTTTCATCATACAATGAAAACTGTGACGGAATTAAAGATAGCAAATCATTACTTTTAGCTTCGTCAAGGCTGGAGAATGACAAATAATTCAAAAATGCATTAATCCAGGTAGATTTTCCTACCCCTGTTTCACCAAGGATTAATATATTCTTTTCTTTTAGAGGTTTAAGTTGTGAAACAAGGTAATTAAAATAGTTTTTATCCTCAAATGAATCAAATGAACCTCCGTGTTGTTCATCAATGCATTTGAATTTGCAAGTATTAGCATCACCACTGCCACATAAACAATACAATTTATCATTAAACCCATACTTAATATAATTTTTACAATAAAGACACATCCATTCATACGTCACATCAGGGTTGCACAATTTTCCAGGGCATGGAATTACTAGATTAATATGCCTTGGTACTTTTAAGTGATTGCTTCTCAAGTTGTCAAAAGCCAATATTGCATATGCCTTACTTGCATTTGTTTTATGAGTATTCAACATTTTACTATTTATATCTATACATATATATAAATCTATACATATATATATATATATATATATATATATATATATATATATATATATATATATGTATATATATATATATATATATATATATATATATATATATATATATATATATATATATATATATATATATATATATATATATATTTAAAACTAGGTTAGCCCAAAGTCGACAAACTATGTCACTATAACAATCGTCAAGTCGACAATTTTCATAAGTCGACAAATTTCCTGTCGACTTTACGTTTAAATGGATTTTAGTAACGATTAGTTCAAT